CTCCATCTCCATGAAGGACATATTCGTGGCCTAGAGTCAATTTTGTGGCTAGCAAAGCACTTCCAAACCAAGTTTGCATCTTGCCACTGATGAGATCTTCTAGGCCTGGGATACGAGATTCATGTTGTTCTTTTGCTGATTCAGGCTGATATGACTTTTGAATCTTTTTCCTTAATGATGGATCCATTGAGTCCTCCTCAAAGTGCACAACACGACATTTTCCATTTCCCAGTAGAAGAATAGATATTTCTTGTCTCTTATTTGTATCTGCAGGACTGATTTCATTCAGTCTCCTTAAAGTCCCATCAGGCGTTTCCTGGTATAATTTGAAGAAATACTCTGGTAAATTTCTCACAAGCATGTTTAGAAATGATACTTTTTGGTCAACACTTCCATTATCTAGTTGTTTTAGAACATTTTTCATGTTTTCTTGCATTTGCTTTGATGATTGTATAGGCTTAATTCCTGTGTCAACAGCCATCTGCACAATACTGTGTTGATCAATGTTTTTATTTTCAGTAATGATTTCAGACAGAAGTTGAGAGAGGAGCTGAATGGGGCCTAAAATCTCTCCAGTGTCTAAACGCTTCAGCTGGTTGACGATTAACCAGATTTCTGCCAATATTGCATTGAGAGATTCCATTAGCGGAATCTCAGTGCTCAAATAAACCACTTCAAGACCTTTGTCTAGCATTAGCGAGTCCACCTCATCCACTATAACACACTGAAACTCTCTGTTAGGTCTCACATCTTGTCTAAGGAAGCGCTGTCTCAGCCAATCAGCTGCAAAACTGACAGTCGTACCATAAACTACCTGACATTCATAGCACTTCTTCAGCTCAGTTTCTGATTTGTCGATGTTGGCATCAACAGTTATATTCAGTCTCTTATAAAAGGCAAACCATTCTTTAGCATCTCTTTCAGCAAGTACAGGAGAACTGGAGATGATATCAGGGGTGTTTCCCATCATGGCCTGATATGCTGCAAACATTGCCACGATACACGACTTTCCTTCTCCTGTTCCAACCTGAACCAGCCGACTTGATTTAGAAAGAATCAGAATGCACCAGCTCACCATCTGAGTCACTCAAGGTTTATTTCCAATTGTCTTTTCTGCAGATTTGCAGAGTTTAAACAAACTTTCCTTTATTCCTTGTAGATGTGGTGCTGTGGAAGCTGATAGACATTCTGACACAGAAGACACGATATCTTTCACTTGTGCCATCATTTCTTCATCAATAACTGCTTGTTTACAAATTTCCTCCACAATCTCATCCAGTGTTTTCTCATCAAAGTTTTTGACAATGTTTTTAATTTTTTTCTCAACGTGATCCACAATCTTTTTTTCATTCGATGTCAAATCAGACACACTTATTTTGTGAATCTTCACTTGATGAAGGATTTTCATCATCCATGTGTGAAAATCTTCATTTCTGCCATTAAATTCTTTCACGAGGGCTTTAAATAACTCATAAAAAAAAACAATACAACTTTATTTTAAATAACATGTTATATTTAGATTGTTTTAAAAGTGCACACTCAAAAGTATTTCATTCAGATTTTTTTTTCCTCAGAGACAGCATTAATTAATTTTACTTACATCATTCGAGACATTCAGGAGTTGTCACTGCAGAGCTCCTCTTGAGCTGTTTGTAGAAGAGAATAAAAGAAGTTGCATTTATACCTGGAAAAGAAAAGAGGGCGTCTCTCATGCTCTGGAATGCTTAGGAATATTAATCGTCTTCTTTGTGTCACGTGATTGGAAAGAACATGAGTTGTGTGTTTTATTCATGTTAAGAAAATTAATTTTGTGCAAATTTGTGAAACCATCTACATTTGACTGTTTGAAGTAGAAAAAAATGTATGCCCTAATTCTACATTTAGTCTTTTTTGCATGTTATAACCTAACTATTGGACATGCATGAAATATTTGCATGTTCACGGCTCTCAGTAGTCAGTGATCCAAACCATATTTTCTCTTAGGACATTCTTTCACTTTCAGTAGTGTTGGTAAAGTACCGAAAATACCTAATGCATTTCAGGTGTGGTGCGGTGGCATGTTTCCTCACCGGCTGGTATGACTGCCAAGAATACCATGCTGGATTGTTTTGCTCATGTTTTGTTTTTCAGACATTCTTCCGTCATCAGCCTGCATGTGTGTTTATATATATATATATATATATATATATATATATATATAACAGGAGTTCTGTAAGTCTACTGCTGATACTGTATACAACTATTCAAGGAGTTTTAGTAACTGATTGATGTTTTTCAGGACATTTGAGGAATGGGTAGAATGGTTCAGTTAAACTGATTCAGTCTTCTCATCAGGGGTGCGTTTCCCAAATCAACTATGGTCACAAGTTCAGTACCAATAGTGTTCAATGGAACTTGCAGCCATAGTTAGCAAACAATGATTTTGGGAAACACCCTTGTTCAGCTTCACATGGTATAATCAAACATTCAGCTTTGATCATCAGGATGTTTTCAGTTTAAAGAGGATTTCTTTGGTGGGGTAATGTTCCGCTTAGTTTGGTTTCTGTTTCACTACAGTATGTCACATGATTTGCAGGAATCAAATTATAGATTCATATTTATAGTTTTATAAAGCTGTCAGTAACTTCAGATCAAATTGAAACTTCTTGAGTAACATGCACCAGATGATTTTGTACAGCACAGTGGAGTGCATCGTTTTGTTAACTTTGTGGTTTATTATTGTGAGTAGTTTGGGACACAGTAACACGGCCCTCTCACAATATATTGCTTTACAGATCTATCGCTTTTGCCTCAGAAATGTTCACGCAATCATGCTGCACACGTATCAGAAGATCTGCGCTCCGCTCACACTACATGCGTACCGCGCCCGAGCCCAACTGAACCGCGCTCTGGCCTACCTCTTCCAACCGAGCCAGGGACAGCTAAACGAACGCACGGAGCGATAACACTAGTCAAACGGGCCAGGTTTTGGGGGTCAAATGTGCTCGGGCACGGTTAAGATTGCCTAGTGTGAGTACACCCTTATTCTCCTGCATTCCGCACACACGAGTCTCTACCCGCCCACACCCGCACTCTGCTGCTTTGGGTCCCGCGATCAAATGTGCTCGGGCACGGTTAAGATTGCCTAGTGTGAGTACACCTTAATTATTCTCCCGCATCCCGCACACACAAGTCTCTACCCGCCCACACCCGCACTCTGCTGCTTTGGGTCCCGCGATCGTGCAGGTCTCTACTTGGAAGGAGCCTGTTATAATGTTATGATCGAGGCTCTTGACTCTGAGCATAGCTTGTTTTTCTATAACAAACTATAAAATATTTTCTATAAAAACTTGTTTTTTATTTAATTTAATTACAGTGATGTTATAAGTTGAGATTTACAAGAACATTTTAACTGCTACTATGTAAAAGGAATACAGCTGTAGAAAAGCACCTTATTTGTTTAATCAGCTTTAGTTTGTCACGTGATTTAAAGGAACATGAACTGCTGTACTTTTATTTATGTTTCAGACAGCACGTTTTATGCAGATCTGTGAAACCATGCACAGCTGAATTAAAATTATGAAAATAATAATAATAATAGTAATAATTTATAATTATACCTTAATTTAAGATTACAATTCCAGTCAAGAATCTACTTGAATATTGTTTCACCGTTTTGTTTGTTCACATACAGATGCTGTGTCGTGATTATGCTGCCTGTCAGTGTATACTTTCACTTTCATTAGTGTTGGTAAGTACAGAGAATAAAATAGTTTCCTTGTTTAAACAGGTTTCTTTGTTTCAGGTGTGGTGGTGTGTTCTGTCACCAGCTGGTTATTTTTTGGTGTAGACTGTTTGGCATGTCTGCTATGCTGGTTTCTCTTTCCTCATATGTGTTGTTTTTCAGACATTCTTCTCTTATCGCTGTCTTATCGATGTTTTTATGAAACAATAGCAATGGAGCGACTGCTCACTGACTGGTGATCATCCAATCAGGACAGTGTGTAATGTACGTTATAATAGGCTACTTTAAAACATTATCATGAAGCTGTTTATATGTTTCCTATATCGATTTCACATCTGAAGTACCAGAATTTGGCGTTGTATTTAAGCCAACATTTATGCATAGAACCAGCCTAGAACCAGTTTATGTTTGTAAATGTGTAATTTTTATCAATGTACAGTATAAAATATATGAGGTATGATGTGGACATGGAAATTTACTTTGCAATCAACAGTCAGAAATGATGAAAATCAAGAACAAATGAAGAACAACCAGCAAATTGGCCACATTAAATATTCAATTCAGATGAAAGTTTATTGTTTGTGATCTCTTCGCAGTTTGGCCATGTTAATAAATACTTCTTGGTGTGATATATCAACCAAGAAACGTATCTTGATAGTTTTAAAGGGATAGTGCACTCAAAAATGAAAATCCTGTCATTGTTTACTCTTTAATTTTCTACAGAAGAGAAAAAAACATACAGGTTTTGATTTCCTTAATTTTCACATAATTCATTACACTTAGATTAAGTATGTGCACTTTATTTATTTATTTGCCATAAATGTTATATGCATAAAAAACTTTGTTTTTAATGGAATAAATAAATATCTTTCTATAAATATATATATATAATTTTTTTTTTAACCCTAAACAAAGTACAATATGATGTTAGTATGTGTTGTTCATGGGGATTCTCCATAGGTGTAATGGTTTTATTCTGTACAAACTGTATTTTCTACCCCCTGCACCTAAACCTACTCCTCACACAAAACTTTCTGCATTTTTTGATTTTCAAAATAACACCATTTAATATGTTTTTTTAAGCCATTTGTATTTCAGGATCACAGGATGCGTCCTCATAAACCACCTCTATGTCATACCCATGTCATTATACAAATTTGTGTCTAATAAACTACATAAACCAGCACGCACACACACACACACACACACGATATTTGATGCAGTTGTGATACTGTGATAATCGTTTAAGATATCTGAGAAGTGTCATATTCCAAAACTATTTTAAGATCTTTGACAAAAAGCCACTCAAAGAAAACATGGTGTCCAAAGTGAAAATGGTGTCAAGACCCAATGACTTGAGATGCATTAATTCCATCGGCAGCTCTTTCATAAGTCTTAGAGGAATGATAACGAAGCCTTCTGCAAGAAAAATTGTAAGTTTTTCAGTCAGGCTTACATTTCCTCCTCTGCTTTCGGCTCTCTTCAACTTATTCACAGCATCTTGAATGTTTGTCTTCAGTAGGTCTACAGTCACACACTTCACTTGAAACTGAGTGGTGAGTAAATCACTACCTTCTGCTCTTGTATCCTGTCTTGGTAATTTAATATAAGTCAGAATCCGTGCCAGATGTGACTTGTACAAATCTATTTCCTTTTCAGCCTTTTCCAGATCAGCCAGTGCTTGAGCAATATAACCGGTGTCTTTCCTTCTGATAGTGGCCAGTGCACGATTATAGAGAGGAATAATCTCTCCAGATGTACCGTCCCCCAAAGCTTTGGTGTACATCTCAATGCACTCAGTAAAGCGTCCCTTCTCACGGAGATTGTTTCCAGACCTGATGTAATAGTAGACCATGGAGGATGGGGACTGTTTAGTCAAAAGTTTCTGCTTTGCACTCGTCAAGTCCAGCTTCAGCTGTTCCTTCATCGTCTCAGTGGGCTTTTCCTCACTGGAGTTCATCAGGAGCCACAAACCCCAGCACTCATGAAGAGAGGACACGATTACATCTCGCTGGTCTGAAAAAACATCATCTTCATAAACACCATCCAAAACATCAAGGTAGACAGAAAAAAGTTCTTCCTCATTTGTGATTTTTGGAATGTCTTTTTCAAGAAACCCAGAGAGTCTGATGTTCACCAGAATATTTCTGGCATCTTTTGCCTCTTCAAGATTGCTTTCCATAATTGGAAATGATTTCATTAGTAGATCTGTGAGAGCAGAGACCATTGCATCATGAGTTTGAGAGCTGTTATTTTTCAGGTAGCGATTAACTGCATCCTCAAATAAACCCTCTGTGGATCCACGTGGCATCAATATACTTGTAAGACGTGACATCGGTGTAGTAAGATGGTTCAGATGGCTGAATAAACTGGTAAAAGATGTCTTTAGGCTCATCACTAGTTTAACAGTGTCAGAGAAATGATTGGCGCACATGATGAGTTGAGCAGATCCTGGACTCCCTTGACGAGCCGTTCGTCCAAATGCTTGCTGTTCTACACGGACGTTCAGAGGTAAGAAGGTTTGCACCACAAACAGACCTCCAGCTTCATTTACACTTTCACTGACCTTTAGGTCTGTACCTCGACCCGCTAGATTAGTTGCAATGATGACGTCCCCCGCATCAACAGTTTTATCTATTATTGTAGAGTTATTCATGTTGTTATTTACATATAGTTTTAGTTTTTCTTTTGAAGTGGTTTTTCCAAGAGTCTTGTGAAATATTTCTGCATGATTGATGGTTTCACAGATGACGAGAGCTGCTCGTGGACCTCGATAAACTGTGGAGGTCACTTGATGCTTAACAACATTACAGACGGTCCTGATCCACTCGTCTTCTTCTGGTATCACCAAACCCTCCAACTCATAAAGTTTCCTTTGTCTAAATGAGGGAATCTTACAGGTGTCAATGTCGTTGTAGAGTTTTTTCAACATGTCAAGCTCTGTTTGGTCACCCAAAGTTCCCGTGATCCCATATACGCTGTTTTTGTATTTCTTAAATAAACCCACATTAGACATGAAGTTTGTGATTAGACTCATGTTGGAGAGTTTAGTTTGGTGTTTCATCTCCAGAAACTGCTGAAGTCCTTCCCCCCATCTCATGTTGTTCTGCACGACACCAGTGCATTTGTAGTCAACAGGAGCAACTCCATCTCCATGAAGGATATATTCATTGCCCAGAGTCATTTTGGTGGCTTGCAGAGCATTTTCAGTCCAAGTTTGTACTTTCCCATTGATGAGATATTGAAGGCCTGGGATATGAGATTCAGTTTGTTCCTCCGTTGATTCAGACTCAAAACACTTTTTTATCATTTTACCCAATGATTTAACTAGAGAGTCCTCCTCGTAGTACAGTAAACGACATTTTCCATTTCCCAGGAGAAGAACAGATATTTCTTGTTTCTTATTTGTACCTGTGGGACTGATCTCATTTAGTTTCTCTAAATTCCCATCAGGCGCTTCCTGGTAAAGTTTAAAGAAATACTCAGGACATTTTCCCACAAACATGTTCAGGAATGCATCTGTTTGGGCAACACTTGCATTATCTAGTTCTTTTGCTGCTTCCGCAGCATTCTGCACAATACTGAGTTGGTCAGTGTTTTTATTTTCATGCATGATTTCAGACAGAATCTGAGAGAGGAGCCGAATGGGTCCTAAAATCTCTCCAGAGTCTAAACGTTTCAGCTGGTTGATGACAAACCAAATTTCAGCCAGTAATCCATTCAAAGTTTCCATGAGAGGCATATTACTATTCAAATAAACCACTTCAAGACCTTTGTCCAGCATTAGCGAGTCCACCTCATCCACTATAACACACTGAAACTCTCTCTTAGGTCTCACATCTTTTCTGTGGAAGCACTGTCTCAGAAAATCACCTGCAAAACTCTGAGTCGTACCATAAACTACCTGGCATTCATAGCACTTCTTCAGCTTTTGATCTTCTGTTTTATTGGTGTTGACGTCAACAGTGATATTCAGTTTCTTATAAAATGCAGACCATTCTTTAGCATCTCTTTCAGCAAGTACAGGAGAACTGGAGATGATATCAGGGGTGTTTCCCATCATGGCCTGATATGCTGCAAACATTGCCACGATACACGACTTTCCTTCTCCTGTTCCAACCTGAACCAGCCGACTTGATTTAGAAAGAACCAGAATGCACCAGCTCACCATCTGAGTCACTCGAAGTTTATGTCCAATTGTCTTTTCTACAGCTTTGCAGAGCTTAAACAGAATTTGCTTTATTCCTTGTAGATGTGGTGCTGTGGAAGCTGATAGACATTCTGACACAGAAGACACGATATCTTTCACTTGTGCCATCATTTCTTCATCAGTATCTGCTTGTTTATGAATTTCCTCCACAATCTCATCCAGTGTTTTCTCTTTAGTGTTTTTGACTGTTTCATTCATTTTGGCCACAATCTTATCATCATTTTGCAAAGTCAAATCCGACATTTGGATTTTGTGAATCTCCACTTGATGAAGGATTCTCATCATCCATGTGTGAAAATCTTCATTTCTGCCATTAAATTCTTTCACGAGGGCTTTAAACAACTTAACAACATCATCTTTTGCCCAGTGTCTGTTCTTCAGCAGGGAAAGCAGTCGTGATGACAGAAGTATTCCTGATGCTTCCATTTTCAAAACTCTGGAAGTTCAGTCTTGATATTTTTCTCACTGCAGCAGGTCTGTCTGTGGTTTACAAAAAAAATCACACGTAATTAAACTTCTGCTTAACTGACAAGCGTAAGCAGACAAAATGATTAATTAACAAGATAGTTAAGACAATTACAACAGTAGACTTTATTTTACATAAAGAAACATGTTTTGCTTGTTTTAAAAGTGTATTCTCAAATTATGTTATGTTTTATTCAGACATTTTCTCTGAGAAAGCATTTATTTGTAATACTTACATCATTCAAGGCCATATTGTTGAGGAGTTACAGCAAAGCTCTTCTAGAGTCATCTGTGAAGCGTCTCAAGGGAGTTTCATTGTATTAGTATGAGAAGATGGCATTTCATGCTTTGGGATTTCCAGTAGACATAATATCAGTTGTTCAGTTTGTCATGTGATTTGAAAGATCAGGAAGTGCGTGCCAGTAATTATTTACATATTTGCAGTACCAAAATTGTGTGATACAGTCGATTAGTTGTGTAGACAGGTTTCTTTGTATTTCAGGTGTGGTGTGATGGTGCGTTTCTTCACCGACAGGTTATTTATGGAGAACAATGACCGTCTGGCGTGACTGCTATGCTGGTTTCTTTTCCTTCTGTTTTGTTTTGCTTTTCAGACATTCTTCATTTATCAGTCTGCATTTAATGAAACATACAGAGTACTGTTAACCTTTTGTTGATATACAAGAAGACTAGTATTGTGCACTTGCTGTGTGGTTAAAGGTGGTTTTGTAGGACACACCATGCTGGACTCCTGCTTCACAATATTGAATTTCAACGAATAATCTCTAGCAAGGTTTATGTTTTGGCATTTTATGATTTTGGTGTTTACCAATTAGTAATTACTGTTATCTCCAGAAAGAGCAGAAAGACTGTGTCATATAATTATTTTAGGCATGTCTATGCTGTAACAGTAGTTACGATTATTTTCTGTCATAATCACAAATAGTGTTTATTAGCAGCTTAAGACAAACAGGGTTTGATTACAACAGCTATTCCCTTTGAGGATGAATAAAGACAGACTTTTCATTTTGTTGAAGTATCCCTTTAATATGATTATTTATTTATTTATTTGGAATAATTTAAAAGCCTACAGAATTTTAAAGTAGAAAGCAAATCTTGTTAGAGTGCATTTAAAATGCCAATCTACTGAAACAGAGCTGAGTAAACTGGTTTATTAAAATTATTAACTGAGTCTTCTCGTCTGATCAGCTTTGCTTTATCAAACATGTGATCATGATCAGAAGCATGTGTTTAGTTTAAACAGGATATCTTTGGTTGGGTATTTTATAATGTGTTTAGTTTCACTTTCACTTTGTCACGAAATCAGCAAGAATCTGATCATAGATTCATATTTCTAGATTATTTTTATAAAGCTGTCTTCAGATTGTTATATTTTTGTGTCCTTTATATGTTTGTCCGAATTTTGTGTCTTATTTTTAGGTCTAATAAACACACTGTGAGACCGTGAGCTCACACACACACAAGTCAACTTAATCAAACAGAGTGTCAAACCAAATCCACCACATGCCCCTTTTTTAACAAACTCAGACATGGCTCTTTTTAAACTACATTTAAACGGCTGCACTCAAATCTCCCCATATACATATTCAAGTCTATCAAACAGTAACTTTGTTTTAACATTTAACTCACAAAACACCATACCATATATTTACTCAACAGTGGCCACCATGAACATTAGTAGTACATTCAAATTTCTTTGAGAATCCTTTGATCCTTTTGTTACAGATGTACGTTTTGTCTCGCCTTTTTTTTTTTACATGTCCAGAACACTTTGCACAGCTGTTTCTGCATGATGTTCTCAAGGGGCTTATTATCTGATTGCACCATCACTGCCTTGCCATATATGTACTGATGAAAATGAAACTTCCTTGCTGCAAAGAGTATGGCAAGTAACTCTTTCTCTATTTGAGCATATCTTTGCTCAGTGTCAGTGAGTGCTCGTGATGCATAACACACAGGGTGGCCCTATTGCAGAAGACAGGCAAGTGTGCCAATGTAAATGGACTCTGTTTCATTCTTTATGCTGTGCACATTTTTTGCTCTGCTATCGTTGCGAATGACTGCATGGCATACCTTGGAGAAATGGTTATTTTTACCACACTTATGGCATACTGCTCCAAAGGCTGGGCATTGACGTGGCTCATGGCTCTTTCCACATCTGCGACAGTTTTGTGTAATTGGCTTCTTGTTACTTCTTGCACCTGGTTTTCTATATTCTGTTGCTTTTTCTATAGCATTTACTTGAGAGTCTTGGACATCTGCAGCATTTTGCATGGCCTCTATCTGTGTTTTGGCTAGCTCAGTTGCTCTGCATACTTCGATAGTTCTGTGCAATGGCAAGTCATTTTCGCAAAGTAATCTTTCTTTGAGAGAAGGGTTTGTTATACTAAACACCAACTTATCTCTGAGCATGCATTCCCACTTGGGCCAAACTCACAGTCTTTGTTTTTTTGTCTCAGCTTTGTGATGAATCTGTCCACTGTAATGCCATCTGCCATGGGATGAGACCAGAATTGGTGCCTCTCAAACACAACGTTTTTCTGTGGGCTGCAATAGTCTCTGAATGCTATGAGCACGTCTTCCATTGTCTCGTTCTCTTCATCAACTAAATTGACGGCGAGTGTATTATACACCTCCAACGCCTCTTTTCCAATAGTGTGTAGCAGAATGGCTATTTTGACTGGCTCTTGTTTAGCACTCGCTCCTGTTGCAGTCATATACAGACGAAAACGTTGCTCCCATCTGCGCCAATTTTCTGCTAAATTACCCGTTAGCACTAGTGACGACGGTGGCTTGAATTGTCCCGTGTTCGTCTGCCGAGATTGAAATTTTCTGGTGTGCTAATCAGTTCGTATCAACAAAACTGTTTGCGGTACTCACTGTAATGTCACTTCTGACACCATGTTATATTCTTGTGTCCTTTATATGTTTGTCCGAATGGTGTGTCTTATTTTTAGGTCTAATAAACACACTGTGAGACCGTGAGCTGTGAGACCGTGAGCTGTGAGCTGCTTCTTTTACTGACTCTCGTTCATTTTACATCACACCAATACTAGGGATGGGCGTATCGATCCTAAGTATCGATATATATCGATACTGACGCGAGTATCGAAAGTATCGATACTCAAACAAAAAATATCGATACTATGGTGTGTTTTATTTACCAGTGATTTTGTTTATTTAAAATAATAATAATGCGTACAAATGCATTAAATTGGACGAATAACCTTTGTTCGCAAGTAATTGTGTAGGATAGAACTATTTTCCTGCTCATCTGAACACGCAAATGTTGCAAGACAGAACCAATCCATCAAAGAGAGCGTTCACTCACTTCTAAAAGTGCATTCAAACAGGGCTGCGTTTCCCAAAAGTATCATAAGAAACAATTAAAGCTTTTGGGAACAGCAACCCTGAACAATGCTTATCAGAAGACAGAAAAAAACATATGTTTGAGTTATTTCACAATAAACAAATTGAAATCGTAGCCTACATAGTTTGTACAATTACATTTATTTAAATTTAACGTTGAAAGATAATATTGATCATGTTCTATTCTGTAATGTTAATAGAAATCATACACTGTCAGAACAAAAAGGTTGCATTTTATGCATGCAACAGCCTGTCACTAGCAGTCCCTTATGAAAATGAACCATGGTTTTACTAAAGTGACCATAGTTCAACTGTAGTATTTGTAGATTTGAATCATGCGTAAACAAAAAACACATTTGAACCATGTGTAAACAAAAATAGAACCTAATAAATTACAATTAAGGCGTATTGTGTTTTAAACAATGTTAAGTGGTTATCATTACCCATTTTACTCTTAGTAATTGAATAATTGAATACATTTCATCATTTAAAAGTTTAGTTCAGAAGTATCGTATCGGTATCGACGATACTGCCTTGAAAAATATCGGTATCGTATAGAAAACAAAATAAGTGGTATCGTCCATCCCTAACCAATACATCGCCCAGGCTTGAGCAATCAACCGATGATCAGTATGACACACAAGTCAACTTAATCAAACACAGAGTGTCAAACCAAATCCACCACACAGATCAAATTGGAACTTCTTGAGTAGCATAAATAAAAAGTGTATTTGTAATCACATTAAATAAATGAATAACATTTTTAGTTATATAATGTCTAGATGGTATAAACCCTTTAAAGAAATTAAAGCAATTTTCCTGAAAAAATAAATAAATACGTATTCTGTCTTTTGAAAGATGCCTTTGTCGCTTCAGCTTGTCCCCTGTATTTGTAAAATGGCTCAATATCCGCTAGAGAGTAAAATACATTTCTGAAGCAGAATGAGTTTCATAATGAGAACAGGACAGAAATATTGATATTTCTAAAGCAGTTTAATGGCATGAAACCAGTCGTGTTGTGTGTAGTTAGTTTGCCAAACTTCTTTCATAAAGCCCTCACCGAATATTACATTTCCCCAAAAAAATCTGTCTCTAAAGGTATGTGGTAATTGGTCTTTTTAAGATTTCTTGTGCAGATTTATCATACATGATTTATACAAACACTCAGTGTACAATAGTTCAGTAAATCTTTCATCAAATCCCAACTTGCTTGTTTCTTCTCACAATGAATCCCAGGATTAAAGATAGAATTTCCTTGAATTTGTTTATTTACATGTTATCAGATCGAAAAATAAAATAAAACAAAATAAAATAGGCAAACTGATTTTGAAGGTCTCACATTTGCAATCTACTGCTTGGTTTCACTTTCGTCCTCTGGGTCTTTTTGCCTTGATATTCACTATCCTCATTGAAAGAAAACAAAAATAATAAAAATCCATACTTATATGCTGCTGGATTGAGTGATATAATGTAAATATATTTACATTTGTAAATACTGTAAATCATATATCATTTAAAAGCTTAGAAGCCCAAGATTCATCCTGTGAAAACCATTTCGAAATCAGACATTGCGTTACCATGGAAATGGTACTTTAAAATATTTTGGCGGTCTCCTCCCCTTTAGTGGGCTGTGTCAAGCGACATATTACAAAATGCATTTTTTTAGAATCAAACCTTTTTATAATCTTGACAAAGAACATATCATTGGAAAGGTCTGAGTCTCAGGATTCTATATATGGTGGTTATTTTGAGATAGAGAAATCTAGACATTTGTGACAGAAAAAATGCATTCAAAAATTCAATGGAGTTTTGGATGGCTGTTTGTGGTATATATATTCTCGTCAGTCCCTGATAAGATCCGCATTACTGCGCTCTACAATGTTAAATCAGTGTTTCTAGTGTGCCACACACACCAGAGCTCGGGCTCATGTTTACACACCAGAAGACAGCACAAAACTCAGGTCCTGGTTCTGTGGAAGGACGTCTTCACTGCGGATACGCGCGCCATCATCCGCCTCCATGTTAAAGCGCCTTTAGGAAGACTTATGATCGTATTATAAGAGAATATAATAACTAGCGCATGTTTATCCCGTCGAGCTCCACTCAAGCAACACTGGCTCACTTCCGCATTCACAACACAGCCAATCAGCTTCGAGATGACTGCCCAACGGAAGCCCGGCTGGGACAAATCAGATCAAAGGCGAAACAAATTGGCTTCTTTTCTATTATGCTATGCTGCGTATTTGACTTAAAAGTCTAAATATATTGCAATAAAGACCACAACATGCCGCAGTGTATCATCAGTCTAAGAGCGCTGAATGATTAGCCCAAGTATTTATATGTAGATTTAAAAGTTTTAGAAGTACTCAAAGCTTTCTAAAAACTCCAGAGCACAAGGGAAAACACACACCCACTCACTCTCTCTCACACACACACACACACACTCACTCTCTCACACACACACACACACACACACTCACACACACACACACACAC